AKTGTATTTTTCATTCTTTGGTATCTCCTTTAGGTATCAGTTGCAGGAGAAATTGGAGATGTTATTGCTGGGAAACTTGAAGTACCAGTGGACAAAACAATTGTCTTCAAATCGTTGGGTAGGGTTTCACATAAAATAATGTTTTCTTTTTGTGTATGAATAGTTTGACAGTGATTCAAGGTCAGATTCAGGATAGAGGGTGCTAGGACTGGGTAGAGAGAGTTTCTTGAACCACGTCCCAGCATACAACTGAATGCAAATTACATTGTTTGACTAACCATCAGTAATATTTATCAAATTTTCATTCACTAAGTTTCTTTTGAAATGTTGTAGTAAAATTTTTTTCCACATTTTCACAGGTATTGCTGTGGAGGATGCTGTAACTTCAAAACTAGTCTATGACAAGCTTGTTGAGCAGGGGTTGATAAAATGAAGATTTTTAGCATAGATAGAAAGTTTGTCCTTGGATTTCATATGAAGGCATTTACTACATACATAATAACCTTGAACCCATATACTTGATTTCTCTTTTTTCACTTTATAAATGTTTCTCATCATGGTCTTCAAGATGTGGCTGTGATCCAAGAATAAAAGTGTATCATCAAATGAACATTAAAATAAAACAATAGATTACTAATATATTATAATTTTTATATATTCATGGAAATTATTAAAAGCTATGAAATGCCATATTATTGTTATTATTACATAGTTAAATGGTTGTTATCTTACAAACTCAATTCCTTCTATTGTATTGGAGAAGAATGAGCCATGATCAAAATTTCACCTTTTTTTTCCCAGCTTTTTCGGGTTCCCTGTGTCAGAACGAAGCGCAAAGCATGATGGATGATGAACGATTAGAGCACGTTTTCCAAGATGGCGAAGCATCATCCAGATTTGATTATGTGCAGAAAACAACCCGGTGTTGGTGAGTAAAAGCTACATATCTTAGATACACTAATTGTATTTCTCACGACACTTTTCTTTCTTTCTTTTAACAGCAATCGGAAGACTCTGCGAGAAGTGTAAGTACATTTAGTTGTCGTTGACATTTTGCATTGTTGAGCTTTCTCTGATTTTGAGAATATTTTCACAACTTATTCTGAGGTTGYATTTATGTTTGATATATTGAGAAATCGTATGCTCTTATTAAATTGATATTATTWTGTTTCAGGCGATGGAAAGTGTGTTATATGTGATTCATATGTGCGTCCTTGTACGTTAGTAAGAATATGTGATGAATGTAATTATGGCTCATATCAAGGACGGTGTGTTATATGTGGAGGTCCTGGTGTATCAGATGCTTACTACTGTAAAGAATGCACAGTTCAAGAAAAAGATGTGAGTTTGATACTATCATTGATACACCGAAGGAAGCTCACACACATGCACATTGTGTGGGCTCCCTGTGGATTTATCAATGTTGAATGACAGGCTTTAGTCAGGGTGTGTTATTACTGTTATTCATTTTGTCTCAGATGCTGCATTTTGTCTTAGGTGGCTCATTCCTGCTGAAGCTCTTATATATATTTCTTTGCTGACTCATGAATTTTTTCTACATCAAAAACAATCAGCGATATAATTATTCAATAGCTTTGCAATAATAAGAATTCAATTAACTTTGAAACTTTCATTTTTTTCAACAGAGAGATGGTTGTCCAAAAATTGTCAACTTAGGAAGCTCCAAAACAGATTTATTCTACGAAAGAAAGAAATATGGATTTAAAAAGCGATAGTCTCTTAGATTAAAAAAAAACGTAGCAACAATAAGATTGCAGCAGCTACATCTGTGTATTATCTATCAAACTGTTGAATCAAGCTGCAGAACCAATATTCCATTCATTGTGTCAAGTCATTGGATAATGGCCATCACACTCCAATGCTCCATCATCTTTTCTGGCACTCTCTGGAACAATATTTAATATGTTATATTTTTGTGAAAAAAATCTCAAAACTACAGAAAAATTCAATTCCATTTGATAAGGAAAAGTCTATAGATCCCTTGCATGACCTTGCAGCTCATAAGAATGCAGCTACATCTGGAGGACAAATACATCAGTTTATTGTAGTTCCCTAGAGAGAAAAGATTTTTTTGGTGTCCTCCAGAGGAAGCTTCTTCAATGTCGAATACAAGGAGTGTATAAATATTTCTGTCACTTATTCTTGTTGTGCAATCCACATCATGAATAATTGCAAAAAAATAAACTTTTATGGAAACTGTGTTTGTGTGCAGGATTACTATATAAATCTAGATAATACACACTTTTTGATTTTAAGAGTGTCTTTACTAGTTCTTTTTCTTGAAAATAAAATATAATCTTTCTCTCAAACACAGAAAAAATGATGGAATTGTTGCATATATGAAAGTGCACCACTAGTCAGTGACAAGCCTTATTTTGCTTGTTTTCCCTTAAATGTAATATAAGTAGGTCATTTTTAAAAAATGTGCTCTACTCTGATTTATCTTACAGTAAATAATTATTTGATGTTTCAAATGTTTTACAGTATTATAATTTTTCAAGACATTAGCAAGTTTCAAAAAATTTATCAAGTCTGAAAATTGTTTATGTTAATTTAATATGACCTCTTTAGAACTACAAAAGACAAACGTGCGCGTGCCTTAAGTATTTTCTCCACCGAAAAAAAATAGAAATATAATTAACTTATATGTGAAGAAAACATTGTGAGAGTGTCGACTGCTATATGAACCAGGTAAAGCCCTGCAGACTGTATCTTGCCAAGAAGAGAATACATTCTTGTAGAGATTATCAAGCATAAATCGAGTCTTCCGAAGGTTTTACGCAATAGTATTTCTACTTAATCCAAATTTGAATATATCGATTATTGATTGACATAAGAACGAAGATGAAAGGAAAATCCGCGACGATCGTCCCTATCCTCGCCGCCGGAAGTAAGGTTTGCACGTGACGTAGGACGTGCCAATCAAACTTGTCAGCAATATTTAGGTCTCGTAGGCAGCAGTGAGCCAGCCAGAGTTTTGCGGTTTAGTTGACCGCTCAAGGTTTCTACTTTACGCAAAATGAGGGCTTGAATGATAGAGTAATTACTCTGACGGTAAGAACTTTATGCGTGCTTCATTGCCAAAACAAGAATTCTAAATGTTGATCAGAAAATGGACGCCATCGCTGCTAACTTGAAGCCCATCTTCGACTCGTGCGACAAAAATGGCGATGGTTTCGTAAAGACGCAAGATCTCATACAATACTCCGGCTTAGGAGGCCAAGAAAACTCCAAAGAGGTAAAGTTCTGCATTGTTCAGCAAGTTTGTATAATATTTGAAGTGGCGGAGTTTTGTTTGCCAAGTTTTTACGTGTATGTTCGGTTGAAATGAATGGTGGAACCTTGTAAACAAACCTACCGTCCACACTCAAAAGTCGCCGTTTCGTTCTCATTATTCTCCGTTGCTATGAACACAGTTTTAGTTTGGGTAATTTAAACTAGGTTTACGAGAGGTTATCAGTGTTTAAACTCGTTAAACGAGAAATTTCACGGAATTTTCACGGTAAAACAAATAATTTGTAGGTGGAAAAGCATCCCAAATTCGATATAGTCTGATCTGCAAACTTACGTGTGAATATTATTTAGGACATCAAGACTTTACTGCATAAGTTAGATCCCGATGGCGTTGGACAGATTACCTTTGAAGACTTCTGTCGCCGATTCCACGATTCTTTAGGTAAACTTCAGCTTACTAAATATGTTTTGAGTAATATCAAAAATAAAACTCCTAAAATCGTCAATCTGGAGCATCTTTAGACGATATTAGCCCCAAAGAACGTTTATAGTATGAGTAAACTTGTAAGAAACTAAAGTTTAATCACATTTCTTCACGTTCACAGGGGTAAGCGGAGAACTTCAGAAAGAACCACATAAAAGATCATCTCAAGATTCTGATAATCTAGAAGATAGCTGTTTTGAGGTGAGACATTTTGTTAAGACTCACAAACACAGATAACTCACGATTTTAAAGACTTTAGCTTAATTGTTCAAGTCTGATAAATTTGTTGAAACATGTTTAAACTAAATCAAATTTATTGTCCTGTTTTTACAATGTCTTTCAACAAATTTAAATCGTACTAAGACTATCTTCTCTTCAACCAGTAACTTATTAAAATCAGTTACTTAACTTAAGTTAAATAACTTGTGTATTTTGCTTTTGGTTTCTGAAATTCTTGAGAAAACTATTTCAGCAGGTAGTTTCGTAAGGAAGTAAATAGAAACTTAAGATTCCTCCATCCATGCATGAAACAAGCTAGAGATTACATGAAATTCAGTTTGAGTGACTTTTGGAAGGGTTTCTCACAGGCGTCTACATAAAACAGCTGAACATATAAAATTTAGATTGCTGCATTATGCAATAATTAGCATTTCTACCTTGTTCTTTTGAGCAAATTAATCCAGTTATAGAATGCTTTGATAACTTTTTTCATCAAGGAGTCTGGAAAAAAAGTAACAGAAGAGAAAAGATACAGAATGTAATTTAAAACTGATGAAGCAGAGCAGGTTGTTTCATTTAATGCTTGACGTTATGCCCAAAAACTGATTGATTGTACAAAAAGTGTGTGCAATTTCTGAGAAGATTAATTTGAATTCATTTGACCATGGCAATATTTATTAATTGCTCCTCTGTTTTAGTTTTTGTGGTCTTTTCTTTTTTTATTGTTATTTTAGTTATCTAACTTATACACCCTTTTATGAAATAACAATGCTTTCATTTTCCATGCCATGACTCAGACAAAGTCCATTGAACCATATATTCTCATAGCTTTAGTATCATTTGAAGAATGAGGTCCAATATAATATCAGAATGACGCCCATTACATAACTGCTTTTTAAGATACATTATACGTCATGCAATGATGTCATGATAACTCCTCTTCTTTTAAACTTAAAAACAACTCATCTCTATAAACTTCACACTAGACCAAAAATATTGTATGAAAAGACTTCAACTCATTGCCTTTCATAAATAAAAATATCATTCCTAGCTGAAAATTATGAGATTATACAAAGCTTCAAAGTATTCATCATTATACTATCACTTGCAAGCTCAAGACAGCATTTTGTCTAGTTCTTATAGTCCATTAGGTAAAAGCCTACAGCTGCATAGAAATTTCGTTTTCAAAGCATTCAAGTTAGGAGATTTAGTATTAGTGTGTAAAAACTTCAATTTTCCATGATTTGGTGTGATTTTTCTCAATTTATTGCTTCTTGTGGCATCATTGGCTTCATAACATCTGTACTTATACTGCATTCATTTAAAATCATTTGGAAACATAATCTGTATGCATGCATATTAATCTAATGATAGTGATTCACAATATTATTATTTGTAGGGTGATAGTACATATAGTACCACATCAACCAATGAATACAATGCTGACGATGACGAGACATTTCAAGAAGATGATCCACTTAACTCAAGCTTCAGGCGAAATTTAAARCAATATTCAACATACCCACCTCCTACGGAACCTAGAACMAAGCATCGCACRCCACTACCACGCCTTTATCTGGATAATTCTCACTCAGATACSAGTGAGTATCAAAGTGAAGAAGGTTATGAAGGATTTGGGGAACGGTTGGTTAGCGAGGAGACACTGCAAGAAACACAAAGTGTCAAAGAACCTATTCTACCACAGGACAGATTCCATCTTCACAAATCATATAGCAGGTACGTGAGCAGTGCTCAAAACCCATGATGACAAATTCTTATACAATGCCATAATTTATTGCTGACAATCTATTTTATTCTTTTTATAGTAACAGCCTACCTTTCAGGAGACGAATATCAGCAAACTCCGCAGCTCTACTTTCCAGGTAATGAGAGTTTGAAAGAAAACGTAAAGGTCATAATATAACCCTTCTTATCACAAAGTTTCAACTGATCAACAACTTCATTTAAATTCTATTTAAATGAAAAACAACCTTTTGTATGTGAAAATTACAAATTTTTTCAAAATTGATTTGAATTGCAAACAGTTAATATTCGTGTGAATTCCCCTGGGGGTAACTAAATCTTGTGTCTATCCAAGAGTCAAACTGAGGTCAGTGAACCCGGAAACCAATTGTCTAACCACCTCACCAGCATGTGATTCTTTCAAAGACTATGGTTAGCCATAGGTGACAAAGATGGGAAATGTTTTGCTTCACTGGACAGAATGATAAAGGCATTTAATAATTTTAGAAAAATCAGCAAATCTATATATGAATAAATATCAATAGTTCATTACTTTAAAAATGGTCACAACTAATTATTTTTCTAATCTAATGCCTTAAGAAGTATTCCGAAATTATTATTATAATTATTTTTCATTGTTTTTTTCTTGTCTGCTACACGTACATAATTATAGCTGTAAAAAATTTTGTTTCGAAACTTTCATAATGTGAGGATTTAAAAAGCTAGAATAACTATTGACTTAAGACTTGATTGGCACTTTCAAAGTAATGCCACCATGGAATTATAGTATTTTGAATTGAGGTTATATTTTTAAGGTCATGTTACTGTAATTGTATAACTTGATATCTTATTTCCACATACCATTAAGACATCTTAAGAGTTGCTTTGAGTCATGCGATGTTAACTACCTAGACACAGCTAAAGAATTCATAGGATTTCTTCCCAAATTACTTTTATCTTGTCGTTTGTGATGCACTCTTTATGTGGGGTAAAGTACATAGATGTAGTAAAACAATTTTAAGAGGTTCATGTGTTGTTAAGTAACATTTAGCAGAATTAGTCAATGGARAGMTTTTCATCRTAGCAGAATTAATCAATGGAGAGCTTTTCATCGATTGTGATTGWTTGGACATGAATCCTTTGAGTCTAAGCCATTGTAATCTATGGAGTTTTTGAAATTACATGAAGTCTTGCATTGCCACCTGTATATGACCAATCTAGTAGGTTTAAATGCATGATGTCTTTGTTATTGCTTCCTTTAAAACAGTACCAATGCTGTTTTATTGATTAATAAGACACTATATTACTTAAAAACAACTGTTTGGGCATTGCAGCTGATGCAAATGATAATAATAACAAGTGGAAATATTATTAATATTAACAAAACACTGTTTTCCTTTTCAGTCCAAGATTGTTTCAATCACTTTCAGCCAACACAAGCCGTCGTAATAGCATGGATGATCTCTGCGGTGCTAGTGATTGCAGTGGGCCGCTGTCTGACCCCGAGGCAGGCATGCAATC